GCTGGATGCAACTGCACCCACCGCGCCACAATTTACGTATGTTATCCAAACCGTGCGTTCACGGAAAGCCTTTTACAAAAGGGAGAAGGAAACCATCTGTTGAGGGTCAAAATGCGGGAATAGAAAAAGAACATAGCAGAAATATAAAAATAGCTTGGAGGCTTAATCAATTAGAATAGTCACGTTAGAGCTTATTTCTCAAGTTGAATTTGGAATTTTACTATTTTGAATTTCATTTAAAGGCAATATGTATTCATAACTGTTCTCGTGTTGAAATTCTATCAGGCTGTTGGATAGATTCGTATCCTTTTATCTATAAATCATAAAACTTTCTAAGAAAATAAAAGTTTTAGCAATACACTATTTGCATTATTTATCATTTGAAAGCTCCTGATGTTGCAAATTAGGGGAATATATGGGCGCATTACACGCAATACCATTATACTTACTCAACATAACTGGAAGCGACTATAAATATAAATATAAATTTATATAGATATTATATACAACATTATAGATTCCAGAATCTAATGTTAGTGTGAAGCATCATCCCAAAGCTTTTGCAAGCCTCTAAACTAATACTCCACAATTAAACGTGCTCTTGCATTTTCTCCATTTCATTACATAATATCGATTGTACGGAATTTAAACTTAAACGGCAGTTGCGTACTGCTTTCCCACATCTATCAAACTTCTCATAACAAGACTATGACATTTCATTTAAATAAATTTCTGCTTGGTTTTCCATTTGTTTTGTTCAATTTTTGGTCACTTTCACCTTCGTACTTAAGCGTTCATCTGTTGCGATACGTAAGCCAATGTGGAAGTTGCCATCTTCGTCCGGGACGCCTTTAATTCTTACCTTCAGGGAAAGGGCGCATGCCTTTGGGACCTCCTGCACATCCACCCCCACCCACGTTTCCGCAAGCCAAGCATGAGTAATCCAATGGCCTCTGGTGGATACCTCACACATTTCTGAATAAGGCCATTGCGCTTTTAAGCCGCGTGCAGGTATAAGTGTGTCGGTAATCAGCAATGGCTAGTTGGCATCAGCTGCTTAGGAGAGGAAGGCTGACCCAAACGCGAAGAAACGAAACCACCACACTGGCACAAGCAGGCTGCCTCTTTTCTTTCTTTCTCCCCCCTCCCATCCCCCTTCTCTATGTGTATATCTTTATAGTAAATATAAATAATCCAAATCTGTACAACACTCCATAC